GTTGTTGTTGGTTGTTGGTTGTTGGTTGTTGGTTGTTGGTTGTTGGTTGTTGGTTGTTGGTTGTTGGTTGTTGGTGTTGGTTGTTGGTGTTGGTGTTGGTTGTTGGTTGTTGGTGTTGGTGTTGGTGTTGGTGTTGGTGTTGGTGTTGTTGTTGTTGTTGTTGTTGTTGTTGTTGTTGTTGTTGTTGTTGTTGTTGTTGTTGTTGTTGTTGTTGTTGTTGTTGTTGTTGTTGATGCTCATGTTGATGTTGATGTTGATGTTGATGTTGATGTTGATGCTGAAGTTGAAGTTGAAATTGAAATTGAAGTTGCAGTTCGAGTTCGAGTTCGAGTTGAAGTTCAAGTTCAAGTTGAAGTTGAATTTTGGGAGGTGGTGGTGGCAGTGGCGTTGCGGTTGCGGTTGCCTTTTCGGACAAGTTTGCCACATTTTTGCGCGTTCTGAGGCATCTACTGAACGTCCATCGCCACTCGCGCCTGGGTCCCCAGGGCTTGAGAACAGGGGTGTGCGGGATGGCCGCGGCAAGGCTCTGACCGGCAATGGTCACCTAGCTGAAACTTAGGAGACAGTCGTCCTTTTAGTTCTTGAAAGACTCCTTTAGTACCAGTGGCTTTCCTTTGTGATTCATCTTGGCAGTGGTTTGGGGGAACCCTTGAAAGTAGCTTAGGGTGTAAGCCCCGTTGTATATCGAAATGACTGTATCAGTGGGCAACCAGAGGCAAGCCCAAAACCAGTTTCTCCGCTGTTAAATTGTGTTTGTTAAGCCTTTGTTCAAGAGGTTTTTTCAACAGGATGGTTGCCTTCCTAAAGCCTTCTGTGCACTTCCATGCTTGTTGAACAGAGGGTAGATTCTCTGCAGTGTTAGCACTTGTTATCAAAGGCAGTGACATATTTTCGCGCACTGCTGTGGCAATGGAGGTTCTCAGGATACAGACGTGCTACCAGGGTGTTGTTTTTGGGCTCGCCATGTCCTGTTGGTTTGCAGGGTTGTGCAGGTTGACGGACAGTGGTCTTGGGCAGTCCCGTAGCCGTTTTTAGGTTGTAGTATTGATTCACGTGTACAGTTGACAAATGTCACACATCCTGGCGTTCTGGAGTAAATAGAATTCGGACGGAGATGGGTTGCTCTTATATAGTAGCCAGGCGCACATGTCAAGAGCTTTTGCCCAAATGTTGTTTCGAAGTGTGATCTATATGGGTCCTTGGGCCGCTTTATAGCTGCATTGAGAGGTTGGAAGAGAGGCAGGCCGATTGCTCAGGTTCTTTTGCCTTTGGCTGTTCAGCTTGTCACAGCATTGTGATGCTGGATGTTCTAGAGGAAACCAATCAAGTGTTTTAATTTCCGGAAACTCGTCCCACTGTTGACACCCTTTTGTTGTTTCCTACAACCTGGACTTGCTGATTGGATGACGTTGAAAGGGAAACAGCCAAAACCCCACCACAACGACCCTCCTTTTGGAAGCATGAGATCGGGGAGACAAGAGAAAACGGTTGCTCGCTGGCTGCGCACAGGTGTGATCTTCAGATGCATTGCAGGCACGGTTGGCCGATTCACGCACTCCTATGGTCGCTCGGAACATGTTCTCTTCTGTGGTGCCTTAGGTTCCTGGCAAAAAGCTGAGGCTGAAGGCTGAAGGCTGAAGGCCCGCAGATGGCCAGAGCCCGGTTGTGCCGTGTCCATTGTTTCAAGCTCCAGTGAAGTGGCTGTGGTTGTCAAAGCCAATGGTACCATTTTGGGGTAGGTGAATTCACCACCCATTTTAGTCTATTTTAGTTGGGATTGGGATGTTCACTGGGGGTACAGGGTTTTGACCCATGGCCAAGTGTCCCTTCTTTCTCTCTTTGGATCTCCAGCTTGGTTCCATAGCTGTTGCCAGCATGTCCCCCGCCAAGAGTCCGGCGGTTCACCAGTCAATGGATCATGAGTTATTTTCTGTTCTTTTTTTAACGGGGGGGTAGCCCTGCTGGAAAAGTTGCCCCAAGTGAGACTAAGGGTCAGTTTCCCAAAGTGAAGGGATCCCCCCAGGATAAGGAGACTCGACCTCGGCTCGCGGGAGGCTGGCCACGGCCTATCCCCTGTCCCACTGCGCACCGCCAGCACTTCCGGTGCCCCGAGGCCAGCTGAGCATTCGCAGTCGATGTGTCCAAGTTTCCCGGCTCCGAATCGAAGACTCAAAACAATTTGTTTCATGCTGGGCCGATTTTGAATTCGGCTGCATTTCGTTTCTCAAACGACAATTTGAGGGGTATATAATTTGAAACATGTCACATGGACCCAGCCATGGGGCGGAAGCACTAAGGTTGGGCCATGTTCCTTCAGCACCCAACTACAACGTGCTCACCTTTTTCCTGTGGGTAAACAAGCGATTTCCGGGCCCGGTCCGCTTTGCATGGGGCACACGAGCCCCCAAAGTACCACTAGAACCTGGGGGGGCACTCAGCAACATGAAATACCAGTTGGGACGATGAATGTTGGCCGAGCCGCATATGTGCACACAAACGATTGTTTCCTTTGCTTTGGTTGGTTGAGATGTTCATCAACCTCTTAAACAGGGCTTTAGACAATGAAGGTACGGGTTTCTATTTAGAGAGTCATGATGAGACACAAGTTGTTTGTTTGTTTGTTTGTTTGTTTGTTTGTTTGTTTGTTTGTTTGTTTGTTTGTTTGTTTGTTTGTTTGTTTGTTTGTTTGTTTGCATCGTGTCACGGAGGGTTGGGCAAGCCCCTCGGGTAAGCATGTTTAAATCGATGTGGTGTAATCAAGATTCTTCTCCGCCCTAGAAATCCTTTTTCCTGGGGAAGGGTTCCAACTAGGGCACCCCCTTAAAGCATGTTCTCTTAGCAGCACCACGTTTCCCCACATTGCGATAGGCGCGAGGTTCTCAGGCACTCCAAATCCATGAATTGGTTTACAGCATAAACGTCCTTCTCTCGGTTCCCTTTCAAAGCGGCCCAGGTGGTTGTTTGAACCCAATTCAACATGAGTCGCACTCCCTTCTCCGTTTAGGGGAGCCGGTCCAAGATTGAAGGTGAATGGAATCATGAGTTGGCTGGGTGCAGAGGTCGAAATTTGTGTTCTGCCACTGCCGGGAACGGCGGAAATATAAGGTATGCCAGATGTCCGCTTTTGATTGAGTTACCAAGATGCCGTTTCGATGCGGAATCCGCATATCGCAGAACCAATGCGAGGGGCTTCTCTTACTGGAAGGCGAGACAACACCGGACCCGTATCCATACCCCGCAGAAATATGTTCAGAACCCTCGCTCAGAACCCTTCGATCAGAAGGCAAAGAACCTGGAATGATATAGGACACTTACCACTTGCATTATGTGCTTGTTTGTTTGCTTGTTTATTGGTTTGCTTGTTTGTTTGTTTGTTTGTTTGTTTGTTTGTTTGTTTGTTTGTTTGTGATTGTTTTAACAAGCACAACAACCTTGTTTGTGTATGAATCCCAACGGGGGGAGGAGGAGCCTCTTGTTTTTCCCTGCACCCCATGTTCGGATTCTCCTAGACAGTCCCATTCCCTCGAAATGATGGCAAACGGTGTGAATGCAAACGGTTTGAATGCATTCTAAGGTTCACTACATATGAACCAGAATCAAACGTGTTTGTTGGGTGGGGGCAAAAGCTGAGGTAGATAGCAGTTGAGTGGAGCAAATGTCGCAAAGCGATCCCAAAAAGGTAAGCCTGAAGATTGTATCCAGGTTTCAGCCCCTTGGCTTCGCAGTGCCTTGCCCCCATGGACAAAAAGACCCTAGATCGGAGGGTGTGGACGGTTCAAGGTGTTTTTTCTGCATGGATCACTATATCAGGGTCTGTCTTTTTAGGGGGGGGGTTCAAAGGGAATCCCAAAGGAAAACCATCATTCCCTAAAAAAGGGCACACCCATATTGTTTTGGCTCCCCGGGTCAAACATCACCATCTGGTTACCCATGTTAATTGAGAGGGTGGGGTGATGGGTCGGGTGAAGTTTCAAGGGCGCACATTGCACAGAACATGTGTGACCTTGTTGCGGCAAACCCTACAAAATCAATTCTCTGAAGGAGATGGTCACTGTATAAGTGCTCATTTATGGACTCCTTTTTGTGTAGGTGTTGCTTATTTTATCGCCCTGGCTAGGTTCAGGTGAGTTTCACGTATTCGGAACCCTGGCCCATCAAAGTGAGATCCTCAAGAGTTTACTCATCGGTGGTTTAAAGGGAAACCCGCGGAGCCCAAAGATGTGCGAACGCCTCAAAAGGCAACTCGGCTTTGGAACCATAAAACCTCATAGGCCACCTGGTTGCAGTGGAAACCCCCCAAGCCCTAGGCCCTCTGCAACTTGCCAGGTCGCTTGCCGGTGGCTCGGCCAAGCTTCAGACATCCGGAACCTGTCTTCGGCAGTGCGCGTCCGAAAGTTTACAGGGTGATGACACGTCTGTTATGCAGGGTGCTGGTGCAGGTGCTGTTTGAGGTGCTGGTGAAGGTGTGGCCGCATTTTTGAAAGACTGACGGCAGGGTCCTAGGGGCATGCAGTTTGGGGTGATTGGGGTGCTGGTTTGGGGTGCTGCTTTGGAGTGCTGCTTTGGAGCGGTGCTGTTTCAGGTGCTGGTGACAGTGAGGGCGGGTGCTGTCGGCAGCGATGCGTAATCGTCATGCAATAACAACCGGGCAGTGTGCAATCCTCGACCTGTTTTACGCTATTTGGGATCTACTGTATGCTGGTCACACCTCGTGCAAGGCTGACTTGCTGAATGGATTGGCTCG